TTTTTTTTTTTTTTTTTTTTTTTTTTTTTTTTTTTTTTTTTTTTTTTTTTCATCGTGATTTTTGTACCTGTTGCTAATAAACCATTTCTTTTAAATTTGACGACAGTTTTTAAACTTTGTATCACTGTAACATAAAATGTTTTTCTTTTGTGTAATTTTTTTTCTACAGTTATTGCAAGGGTTTGTGGTCTGTGATATCTGGTACAACTTGTCGCTGTGATAAGGAGCTTGTTGAGGATGAAATAAAAAATGCAACTGAGCTCCTAAAAGATGGATTGTTTTATTTCAAGCCCTACACCGAGGCATCATTGCAGTCAGTATCAAAAACTAATCCACCTCCCAAGATGTATGACTTGATTTGCAAATTAGCACCTCTTTTGGTAAGTAATCCTATTATTTTCCAGATAAAGTGAATGGCACTTCCATCTTCTCTCTTTTTAGAATTTAGATGCGACCATAGCATGGGATCTCGTTTGCAACTATATGATCTACGAGTACAGAAACTGTGCGGAAACGTTTGCCTCACAGCTAACAGACTTAACTTGTATAAAAGCCCTGATCGAGAACATTTGGAGCTTCTATTACACAGAGCGCATTACCTTGATTAAATGCTTAAAGTTAATGGTTGAGTATCGCGAAAATAAAAACCACCCAAATCGACCACAATTTGTCAAATTTTTTGATGAAATACTCCTTGGCACTCTTTTGGAGTCAATAAGAAAGCAGATAGAGGCTCTTAAGTTTATAAATCCACCAGTAAGATCTCAACTATTTAGTGACGAGCTCCTCCATCAGCTCTACAACAGCAGTCTGATAGAGATGCGCGAACTCTTACACGTTTTCACCGTAATTTTGCATGAGGTGCACATTGCTGAGAATGAATTTGTCAACATTTACGGCAGCATCAGTGGCGAGCCGCGACGTCTCATCAGCTCAAAGAGTCACGAGGAAAAAGAAACAATTGACAAAAAAATTCAGGAAATTCAGTACAGTCAAACTGCGCTACTAATCGTTGGTCTCGACATGATGAAGCACGCTGGCATGGAGGACTGGATCCGGGAGGTCCGGAGTAGTATGCAAGAAATCCTCGAGCAAAAGTGCTTGCGAGACTCGTTCCCGCAGGACGGACCCCTATTCTTAGCTTGGATGTTGGCAAACTATATTATTGATATGGATAACAGCGACGTTATGATGCGCTACAAGGCTTTTGGCATTCGAGCTGTCCAGCTGAATGTGTTTTACTATCTTCATGGGCTGCTGAACAGCGAAATGATTAAAGAAAAGACACAATACGCCATCACTGTAAGAGGAAGCATACACAATCTATTGACCATACTTTGCGCCTTTGTGGATGAAGACAAGCTTGATATTTTTCCAGGTAAAAATTTGAATTAAAAGTTTTATAGATACACGATTTTTTGACTAAATCACTTTACAGGCGTGTTTGAGGCGTGTGCCGCGACACTAAGTTTCCCAGAAATTGCCGAACGCTTCTGGCAGGAAAAAGACGAGGAAGGCAGCGTCTGGTTTATCGTGAAGTACGCGATACAATGGTTCCCGTCTCGCTTTCAACCTCTCACTTGCATTCTAACAGGCTTGGCAAACGCCTCGGCTTCAAGTGCCGAAAAAACTGCAAAAATGGTCGACAGCTTACCATCTATCACTCTTGAAATATCAAGGCGCAACTTCATTCATACCGAATTACGACGTCGCCCTTACGAGTCGGAGTGCCTGGTTCACCCTAACACCTACGAAATACCAAGGAACTGTGAGATCGTTAAATTGAACGCATCCCAGCAGTCGAGAAACAAAAGAGGAAACGACGAGTACGAGATCATAATGTTCAAAGCCAAGTCATCCTACTGGAATGCGTTCCATCACAAAATCGAGCTTTTATTGTCGGATGCCAGTGCTGGGATTTCGCGATTAAGCGAGAGCAACAATCCGCTACCAGAAGATGTAGCTCTGGGTTTCGGTTTTCTGGAGGCACTGCTGGCCACTGACATTGATATCTCGACTAGCGTGGTCTTCCCAACAGAGTTGAGTTTCGAGGTCCTCAATCGCTTTTCTTACCCGGTATTGCCCATCAATGTGTACAAGGTAGTCACGGCTTGTATCAAGGTCACGTCGAAACTTGTGTTACGCTACCCGGCAGACGTGTTGTCTCGCATGCGCGCCGGCATTTATCCGCGTTTCGACAATTGCTATCAGGACGTGAGCGAGTTCGCTCAAGCAGTGTCTTTCGATGGTGGCCTCATAGCTTCGTGGCTGTCGAGTATAGAAACGATTCAGCACACCTATCCCATTCTCGACGCCTACCTGGACACTCTATCGAATTATCTGATAGTGCGCCACAGCAAGGAAGCTCTTCACACCGTCGAGATACCCGGCATGATAATGCTCTTGCAGAGCGTTCTGCCCAAACTCGATTCTTGGTATTTCAACTCGGATCTTGAGAGGATAGATCTATGGCTGAAGAGCATGTATTGTCTACATCGGGCACTCGACGTCACGCCCGGTAGAAAAGACGAGTCGAGGAATGAGCTGAGGAAAATTGTTACTTACAATCTATTGCATCTCGAACCGAGACATGCTCTGCTAAAACTCGTGAGGACAGGGGAAGCGGTGCTCAGAATTAAAATGCTCAGCGAAACAGATTGGATATCTGGCAAGGGCTTCAAGGTAAATGTTTCATCTAACTAAAGAAATAGCTTGTTTCTAGCTCATTTAATTTTCCGAAAAATTACTTAACGTGCAATTCAAATTGTTCAAGGTCATGAAGAGCGTGCAGCTTGCTTTGTCGGTTGTAAACCGACTGCTCATGTATCGCAAAAATCTTGGCATGGGCAAAGATCAGCGTACCCCGCTCGAAGCCGCCCTGTACGCCTCGCCGTCGTTGCCCAATGCTTTACTCATCGTGCCAACGATCGTTGACTACCTCTACGTGTGGTTCAGCCCAGAACTTCAGGCAATGGCAGTGCGTCTTCTGAAAAAGTTTGCCGAGGGCTTTTCCATGTCGCTTCTCGTGTGCATGGGCATGGACGGTACTGCGATTCGCGAGACTTTTGCCTCGCGCTTGATGTCCCCGACCTGCGGCGTCGAGGTCAAGGTCGCTATACTCGAGCTCGTCACCGTCTGCCTGGATAAGCAACCGGGTCTGACCGAAGCCCTGTTCAACATAATGCACCAGGCGGAGCGCCGACGGATATTCCCACGACCGGCCGACGAGTTCCTTACCGAGGGCTGCACTCGTTTTCTCGATCTATACCTCGAACGTACGCTCAAAGAGGATGATATCGTTTACGATCGGTTGTACGACAGCACCATGAATTTGTTGCGTGCAATGTGGTACCACCGCAACGAGATTCTCGTCAATTTCTTTCGCAAGCGACCCCAATTCTGGAGCAAGCTGTTTACACCGTTGTTTCGCAAACTGATCCTCAAGCCAGAAATTCGAGGATATTCGCAGCTATTGGATATCATAACGCTGGAGCTGTTCAAGAGCGCACAGCTAGAACAGGAATTTACGAAGAATTTGGAGAAGCTGCTTGATGAAAATGCTGATCACTGGAATACATTGACCCGATACGTTTTTGAGACCGTGCCGCCGCCACTGACCGAGGAGCAGCAAAAGCAGGAAGATCCCGATGAAGATGAGGAACAAGTGATTTCTGAAAGGGAAGTTGGAATCAGACCTTTGTACGAGAATAACTTGGAGTCCTGGTATCAGCTGTTGGTTGTTATCACTAGGGTGCGCACCAGTCGGAACTATTCGATCGGTCCGAAACAAGTACAGCTGACGACTCGCTTGGCCTTGGATCAACTGTTGATGAGATTAACACAGCAGCCACCCACGTCGAAGCGTTTGCGATTCACGGAAGCCAAACTGATAATGCTGCTGTCTTCCATAACCCTGCGCTGTATGACATCCTGGCGGGCTCTATGTGTGGGCGAGCTGAATTCTGGGGAGGATCTAAAGAACAAACTGCTCAAGGTGATGCAAGATATCGTCTCATACTACCAGTGTTATGGCAAACCCTTGCGACAAACGCTCGTAGCTCTGATTCTGGAATGGCTTGAACTCGTCCAAGTACAATTGACAGGAGACGAGCTAGTGCTGGAGTACTTGTTGAGTCAAGCGTGTACGCTAGCGTCGAGTGATATTGAAGAGCTGCGCAAAGCAGCCCACGCTAGAGACAAGAAACGCAAACCGGTCAGCGACACCGAGGAAGAATATCGCCGCGAAGCTGAAGAAACTTTAGGCATCACCCAGTGTTTGCCTGCTACTTTGACGACTAGTCTTGTTACTCGGTTGCTCAAGTACAAGATCAACCAGGGCAGCATGGATTCTGGAAAAAAGATGAGCGCGTGCTATCAGCTAAGACACCTTGTGCCCGAGCTCATTGGTTGCGCGGGTGTTACGTTGCAAAAACATCCGTATGCCAAATTTAGCAAAGCTGCATTGATGTTGCTCAGTGCCATAGCCAGGTCGCTGTACGAGTCTTTGCCCGTTAGCGAGGAAGACGTGTCGAAATTGTGGTTGGCTCTTGTACCACCAAAGGATATTAAGGGTAGCTTGCAGAGTTGTTTGTATGAGGTAAGATTTGACTTTTTTATATTTTATTTATTGAAAATAATTTTACATACATGTATAATATTAAATTATAGTTTATCACAGTGGTAATGTGTGATTCAATAATTCCATACACATAGTACATTTATTTATTTATTTTTTTTGTTTAACTATTTAAAGATCTCTAGTGTTGATGATAGTGGTGATGTTAAACCACATACAGCACAACTAGAATTCAAAAAAGTTCCACTATCAATTTAAATATTATCATACCTTTAACAACATTATTAATGTAAAATTGAATCTGGAATATAATCTTTATGCCAACAAACGTCTGAACGCTGCAAGACAGTTCTTAGTTTTGTACTTGATAATTTGTATTGTACCTTATTTAACAGTCAAACAAAAATCTGAGTATTAATACGCGTAGTTATTGAATAGTTGGACTTTGTAAAACGTCAACCTTTGAAGTAATATCGAAATATCTATGAAAATTTCACTAAGTCACGTGCATTATATTGAGAATGTTCACCCTACCTTTATTTTTCTTTAACTACCCTATACTCGACATTCATATTCTATTATAACGTACATATTCCATTCCAAAAAAAATATCATGATACAAAATATTCTTTACCACCTACAAAAGTCAGTATTTTTTTTCTTTTTTTTTTTTTTTTTTTTGTTTTTTTTTAGAATTGTAAAA